ATGACTCCACACCGTCGTCTTCCAGCCCGCCACAAAGGGGAAGACCGATGTCTCTCCGCGTTCCAGTGCAGCCTCATAGAACACAAAGCCTCTCACCAAATCCTCATCGCTCCTCGAGGTTACCGGTGACTCCTCGGGAAGTTCGCTCGGCAGCAGATGGCGACGAGATCCAGGACCTTCACACAGGTCGCTTTCTTCCAAACATCCCACCACCACCACCAACTGCAGCATCAGCTAGTCAACGACCGCAAAGTGGTCAGCGGCGTCAACCAGGCCCGCCCGACGAAAATGATTCTTCAACAGAGCAGACTGTTGGTGATCATCCAGGCTGTCGCCAGGTCAAGTCGTCTGACAAACTTTTACTTAAAAAGCGAGATCGTACGACCAAGAGGAGCTTACCAAATATTTCACTCAACCGGCAAGGCAAAGTAGTACCTCATCCCAACAGAGTCAAGTACCAAACACTGATGCAGGATGATGCGAAAGTTGAGCGACCTTCCGGAGTCTGCTGCCTTGGTAACGGTGCGGATAACAAAGGCGTGGTCGCCGTAGCGGACTGCGGTCGTGGTAGGATCGTGGAGGTTGGTCTGGACGGAGTTGTGGCCGGTGTGACATTGGTGTGGGAGGATGACGGTGACTCGGTGAAAGCCCAAGGTGTGTTCGATGTCGCACAGACAGATGGAGGATGCATCGTCGTATCGGATTCACAACAGAAGCAGGTATACCATAGCTCTTTCATGTATTCTTTTCAAGTCCATCTTCATAAGCTTTCCCAATGTTCAGATGGCAAATAAGTATAGAGTTTTATCAAAAGCAATTGACCTACAGTTCTTAGGGAAACAATCTCCGAAGGTTTTTAGCCAACAGTATATTTAATTCGAATGGATTAAGGATTTGAGGTTAAATTGGTACTCTCAGTCTTCTCACGCATCAAAACATATTTTCATTTCTATGTTGTACATGGCTGTGTTAATAATCCTGTTATATTATTTTTGTGTCGTTCAGGTAATTCTGTTTGACGAGGGCAGACGAGCACATACCTTAGAACTTCCGGTCCATACTGACCCCCGCGGTGTGACGTCACAAGGTCACCGTATCTTCATCTGCGACCAAGGCAACCATTGTGTACAGATGTTGGATCTCCACGACAAAAATGACAGCAAACCAAAAGCCAAAGCGATCGCTCTCAGCAACGCAAACGAACACCTTATGGTCTGTCCATATTACGCGTCAGTTGATCAAGCTGGTGTCCGGATACTGGTCAGTGACTACGGCGCTGGCGCGCTTATTCTCGCGCGCGTTGATAACGCGCATCCGCCGCTTCGCGTCAAACTCGTAGCGTCGTCTGCTACGTCGCAACATGGCCGACCGTGTACAGCGACAAGCATCGAGATCAGGCCGACGGGCGTCGCCTGGCTGCCGAATGGACGCGGTGCCGTGGTCGCTGACCAGATCGGGCATCGGCTAGTGGTCGTCGATGAGGAGCTGAATGTGGTGGGTAGTTTCGGGAGACAAGGGAGTGGAGATGGGGAGTTTCTCTTTCCACACGGAATCACATTCGTTTCTGACAGCCTTCTCAGCGTGTGTGACATGAATAATGCACGAATACAGTTTGTCGAATTGGAGTTATTACTTGCAAGCATCAACTAAAACTTTAAAGCTCCTCTGCACTAGTTTGGCTAGGAGGAATCAGACCTCCCTACATGCCTGCACGGCCACTGACAGGTGGTTATCTCATCAAATCAGCTCTCAATTAACATAAGAAAAGGGGGACAATGGGGGACCAATGGTCACCGATTTAGCATTGTTTGCTATATAGAGAGCGCAAGTAGTAGTGCAGTAGGGCTTTAATATTTACTGAACATATGATACCCCCCTCCCCCAAGGAAAAGAAAAAAGTTATAAACAACATTCACGTGAAGGCAAATCGGAAGAATTCAATAAGATATGAATTTTATCATGTTTATGTATAACAAATACTTAGCCTTTTCCTTATAACTATACTTGGTCTACAGGTTGGAAACTCCATCATTATCAGTAATAAAGGCCTGCTGAAGGGTATGGGGGGAGTTGTGATTTTTATTTATTAACCAAATTGTTTATTTTCACAATTACAAGGACTTAAATAATGTATAAATATAGTTATGATGTATATATGATCTGAAATTAATTGGATTGATGATCTCTACAACGCGGAAATTACGATGAAAAGTCTTCATTTGATGTCACATTCATCGGTTATTGTATATAAAACGTCATAAAATTTATTCAACACAATATAATTGCTATCTTTTACTTTCATCTACAAAGTCATAGTTAACTATTTTCCTGTAAATATTAGGACGTAAATTCAGAGCCAAAGTCGAAAACATTAAGGATACAATTCCACTGTACCATTTGAACAGTAATGTTGTGACATTTTTTTAAATGGAATATTGAGGTCTTTTATATTCATGTATTTGGGTTATCCTTCCCTATAAAGATATCATCATAATTGCTATAAATACATGTAAAGAAAAATATGAATGTAGGACTACACAAAATTAATTTTAAATATTTTCGTCTCTAAAAAGAGTATTTCGAATTCCATTAAGTTTGCCAAAAAATACTCTCTTTCGAAATGATGTAAATATTGTACAAACATCGTATGCACAAATTAGTGTTCAATATAACAAAATATATGAACCGACAAGTTATTGCCCGAGTGATGTCATATTGCTTAGAGGCCACACAATATATATGATTGTGACGTCAGCTAGTACTTCAAAATTGTAATGTATCCTGTCTAGCTGTCAAATTAGAATATGATGAGTAAGTCACGATCGTTTTTATTTGTTTATCTTGGATGGTATATCACAATGTTTTGAAAGAGAAACTAAAAGTTGATAAGGACGTGGCGTTTCTCTCCAGATTCAAACGACAGCCTTATAAGGAATCGAGCCTCTATGCAATATGACGGTGCCTGCAGTTAATTTTTATATTAAAGAATTTTGCATCTAATCGTAATAGTTTGCCTTTGATGTTTGTTTAGATTGTCTACCTATCTATTGTGTAATACGACACAACATTACAAAGTGCAAAGTTTCCTCTTGAACGCTTTTCTCCCTTTGATACCCCCCCCCTCTCTCTCTCTCTCTCTCCCTCTCTCACGCACGCACACACACACACACACACACACACACACATTCATATACACCCTGTCTGCTTGTCTCTATCTCTCTTTCTATCTGACTCTCTCTCTCTCTCTCGTCTCTCTCACTCTCCCCTCTCTCTCTTCTATGACTCTCTCTCTCTCTGTCTCTACCTCTTTTCTCTCCCTTTCTTCTCTCCCCTCTCCCTTTACTTTGAAGAAGGGGGATAGATCAATATTCGTCTGCACAATCTTGCAGACGAAGTCATTGGTTAAAGCAAGACAGTGTCTCCGTGTTGAAATGAAATAAAATGAATTATATAGATAGAAAAAGATATAACGAATTGATAGATAGGCCTACATACATACATCAATAATTAGACAAAGTTGTATAAATGGATATAAGATAGATGGATAGATAAATGGATAGATAGATAATTAGAGAGGAAAGATATTTGGCTATTAATATGAAGAGAAGGCAATAGTTAATCACGATATGGGTATTCTGTCACGTTCTGAGATCATCACGTAACAATGGGTATGGGAGGGTGCAATTTTTTTAAAATCAAGTTAACAGAGTAATAAGATACCATTTTAGGTATCAAACAAGTATCAAATAGGTTTGAGCCATCAAAATGCGATAATTCTGCCTTTAAGCAAAGATCCGGTTTGGGTGGAATTCTAGACACAAGACCCTAGATTTAACCTGTTATGATAAGGAAATAATGTTATCGCTTTCTCTCTCCCCGTCTCTCTTTCTCTCTCTTCTCTCGTATCTCTCTCTCTCTCTCTCTCTCTCTCTCTCTCTCTCTGCTTACCACTCGTTTCATATTCTACATAAATTAACTTGAAAAATCTTAGTAACAAATACTATACAATAGTAAATGTTCTTGTTATTCAACATGAGAGCTAAATAAATGTGAAATAAAACCTAAAAGGAGAGAGAGAGAAACAGACAGAGTGACACACAGGGAGAGATACAGACAGAGTGTGTTTAAGAGAGAGAGAGAGAGAGAGAGAGAGAGGAGAGAGGGAGGGAGGAGGAGGAAGAAGGAGAGGGAAAATGGTGGGGGCTAAATCCGTGGTACGTGTTGATGTACTGTTATCTTCTTACTGGATTTTTTAAATCTCATGAACATGATAACAGTGTTATCACATTTTGATAGAACAAAGTTGTTGTGACCTAATTCAGAAGTTCATTTAAAAGTCTGTTGTCGTATTGTTCTCCCTCCCACCTGACACGGGTTCAAACTTATCGATTATGTAATGCTCAAAGAATGTTGAAAGCCCTGTTGGTACCTCCTCCCTATCTTTCTCCCTCTCTAAGAACGTAATGTTCTTATGTCCTTGTCGTGTGGAGTATACGCCCCTGCAAGATCGCTATAGTTTGCTTTTCGTATTTGACAATGCATTCCGCTATTGATAAGTGCATAATCGACCCGGATATCACATCTATTTGCTCGCCAAGGTTTACAAATTGTCGAAAAAACAGGGAACAGAGTTCAATGAAACCTTATCTCGCGTATCGAGAGGCCCTATTATCATCTATTTGATTTATTTATTGGAAAAAGAAAAATCCCCTTCTGCCGATTGCTGATGTAATCACTCAGGAATGCCATCGCAGCAATAAAGATAAAGCAAAGATAACAGGTGTATATTTTTAATTGTTGTATTTTTGATAACTTTTGCAATGTGATGATGGTTTTTGGTTACAGAATCTAAGTCCTTGTTTTTATATTGCTAGTTTTTTACATGTATATGTTTAAAAGTGTTATCTGGTGCGCCTAACGGGTAAACATGAATATTCCAGCCATGGCTGCATGTAGAATTGTATTTGTATAAACCATGGCCCCGTATTATAAAGCTTTTGACTTACCATAATAGTAACTCCCCGAGTTACTATTATGGTAGTTACCATCAATGGTAACTACCATCGGAGCTTAATATCCGTTGCATAAAACCGATATTAACTAATATAAGAAAAACCCGCGAATGGTCTTCTTGGACGAGCCAGAAATTTTAGCGCATGCGCAATACCCGTCGTCTGCTAGATATAGCCACTGAGATAAACACCGAAGACGGCTGCTGCTAATCTACAATTATCGTCCATCGTACGTATTTCTTGACTTCAATCATTTTTATGTGTTAATCGAAAGAGCATATTCATTCTGCTATACATATTGATAAATGTATTAGTACTGGCAATAAATTTGCAGCCTTTACTCAGACAGTATTTGCCATCGTACTGGGGTTTAATTGTAATGTTTACGTCAGTCTCCGCAGCCGTACGTGCTTTCAGAAGCCAGCGGGGACTAGAGTACTGAGCTCCCCGGAGGAGCTGGGTAGCATAATCTGACATTCGACTACTAGCATGACTAGATTGGGTGGTGTTTTGAACATTCGTTTATCTACAATACCCGATGATTTAAAGTTGTTTAAGGGTAAACAAATTGCAATTACCTCATAATATCATTCTAAAAATGTAAAATAGGGTCTACTAGACTCTCAATTAGGTCTAGAATATCTAGATCTAGATAAAATTAAGTCTCTCGATAAGAGTTAAGACAAGTCGATTAGAATTTCAACTTCATTCAAATTTCTAGTCTATAATTATATAGACTCTCAATTAGAATTTCAACTTTATTCAGCTTCAGACTAGTAGTAGATCTATAATCAGATACTATTTAAAATAGTATAGACCCTAGACTATATGTCTAGTGTCACAGTGTGTGCATGCCCAGTGTGAGAGCTGAGGGATAATTGGGCCGGCGATTGGGCCGGCGATTAACAGGGGCATGAAATATAACGATATACTGAGCTGTATAAACTATAATCTAGATCGACTACATGTAAGCAGGGAGTTGGAAAAGCCCCTCCCTAATGTAAGTTTGCGGGGGGGGGGGGGAGTTTTTATTTCTCAGACTCAAGAGTCGGACTGAGTAAGGTCTATAAACCGAGTGTAGATTTACAGAACCCAATAATATTAACATGATTAAGTAGTAAACTATAGCATAGACTAGCTTTTACTCATACATAGATCTACATTGGTTGAAAAAGTAAATCTTTTACTATTATTAGTATTATAGGCCCTAGTAATTGTCTATTGTGAGTATTGAGTGGTCTAGTCTAAGCAAACTCCTTAAACTTTAATTTATTTTTCAATTGATAAATAATAATAATAGTTATTGATAATAATAATAATAATAATAATAATAATAATATATTGTAAAATGCATTAACTACATGTAGAGTCTAGTCTATATTTAAAAGTTAAATAGTGGTAATTTAATTGGCAGGTTTTGGACCTATACTAGTAGAAATATTGAGATGTACTGCATGAGTCTATAGATCGAGGCCCTATACTGATCGAGTAACAAAACCGAACAACAATCTTGTGTTTAAAAGGGTTTGATACCGTCAAATTTGATTTAACAGAACTCATTTTAAACAATCTTTCTGGCTTCTCATTAGTTTTTTAATTTTGTTTCTTCATTCTAGGAAATGGTGAAACGCAGGCCGAATTTGACAGGTCGGGATGTCCGCTGCCTGGCAGACTACGTAAAAAAGAACCGCCAAGCTTTGTTCGGCAAAGCGGGGAACTGTGTGGAAAAGGTTTGTAAAATCCAATGCAGATCTATTCATTAAAATTTCCAGGACATAACTATGATTTCGAATTTGAATAAAGAGTCTCTTTATCTAACTTATTTTAATTTTTCCTTCTTTCAACTTTTCTTCTAATAAGTATACCGAAAATGATGTTTTGGTTTTCATTTTTTCTGATGCCCAAGACAGAATGCAGTCCACTGTCTTTGGAGACAGTTGGATGCTACCATATGAGAGTATTCTTTCAAAATAAGTAAGGGTGAATTAATATGTTAATCATCTATTGCATATAATTAAAGAGAACTTGAGTAGGTTCCAATTTACATTGTACTTTTTGTTCTTGAATTTTTGTAGATCAAAAAACGAAAAGAGGATGCATGGGCCCTAGGGCTCGTATCCCTAGAGGCCCAGGGACTCCAACCAGGTAGAATAGTAAAGGACTTGCGTCTTACCTGGAACGAAATGGCGGCAAAGGCCCGAAAGTACCGGGACGCAAAGAACAAGACAGGTAAATTAAGCTGTCTTTATTGTGTAACAGATAAAACTGTAAAAGGTACCTTTCTTGTATACTCCTACCACATGTAATTTATCACCAATAGTTACCTGTGCTTTGGAAAAGTTAAAAAGTAAGAAAGCATTTGTGCAATAAAAAAACAAGTTTTTAAAATGGTGGGATTCCATCTGCTATTAGTATCTACTGTACCACCATAGGTCATCATAAATTGTACATGCATTAAAAAATTATCTTTAATATATCATATCAACATTCATGACTTAGGACAACAGCCTAGTGTTTGAATGCTAGGCTTTTTCTATTTTTATTTCTCTTTAAAAAGATAGCATGTTTTGCATGGTATATCCTATTTCAATAAAGAATACTCTAGAGTAGCCTGTCAAGAAGAGTATTGAATTAGTAAAGGGGTTTATTATTATCAGGAGACTTGGTTGGTAGATTGGTGGTCTCATAATCCGACGACCTAGGTTCGAAACCATGTCGTCGATGCACTAGTGTCCTTTGGTATTAAGGCATTATTCCTCATTACCAAGGTCCCTTAGATAGGACCTAAAGTCGTCGGTTACTAATAAGCACTCGTGCTTTTTTAGCAGTCGGGTAAAATAACCACCACTAAACCGCAAATCACAACTTACACTTATTTGGTGTAGATTATTAACCATCACGACCTAATCCAAGATCTCTCTATTAACATTTCGTAAAATTTATGGTAAGAAGTTAACATTTATTTCTTTGACTTTGGATCATTAGGAGGTGGACCACCAGTGGAATATAATGAGAAGCACGAGGCAGTACTGGAGGCAATGGTGGAGGAGAGTGTGGAGGGCATTCTGGGGCCAGAAGAGGAGGCTGGATACCTAGCTCTCCCTTCGAGCCAAATGTCACAGGTAAAATTTGTAGAATTTGATTGACCCCCTCTCTGGGTATGAGAGTACAAACAAACATAAAAATATACATGACTTGTGAATATGTACATCTTTGGTTTAACCCTAACTGAGCCAAGGGGGGGGGGGGGGGGAAACAAGTACCCCCACCCCCCTCCTCAACACTTTGCACGATATGTCTGCATCGCTGGCCGAAATCTCAGGGAAGGGGGCGGGGGAGCCCTTTCCCTAACTCTGAGAACTTCAAAAATACCCAGGCCTAATCAGGGTTTATCTTGAATTGTAGATGGTATTGAAATGCTTACCACTATATTACTTAATTTAGTTGACGACCTTCAAAGTGTCAATGTTATGTTGACCACCCTACCCCCCTAACTCTATTTGAAAAATTTATCCCATTGAACATGAGATTCAAATGTGGCATGTATTTTTATGTGAGGCATTTTCAATACGGGTATATGGTAATTTTTTTGTTTAACAAAAACAAAATCCTCACTGATGGTGTACGGTACAACAATTTTTTTTTCTTACATTTTTTAAATATTTTTTTTAGGGGGGTGTTTTAAACCTTTTTTTCAAACATATTGATGATTAGATAAAACCCTTACTGACATTGTTCTCTTTTTATCACAGAATTTTAATAAATAAAATAATAATAACAACATTTAGACAGTATGGTTCTATAGTTCTTTAAAACTCAATCAAGGCAATCTTTATTGTTATATGCATACAGACAGCAGAAAATGCCATGGCTGTGGCCATGATGGTTAACACCATGGTGGGTGGCATATCTGTGCCGGCCCGGGACCCACAGACCAGTACTAGTGCAGCCAGCAGTGCCGGACCACCAATAGACCAGCCTGTTCTAGTAGGGGATAGCATGGCCAAAGACACCAAAAAGCCAATCAGCTGTTATGAAGAGAGACTTTTGGAGATAGAGGAGGAAAAGTTATTAGTCATGAAGCGTGCGCTTCACGTTTTCGAATTATTTGTCTTTAATCAAAAAGAGGTTTAAAATTGTTACTTTGTTTGTTTTGCAAATTCCATGTTAATTTTGTTCTTATTCATGATAACTTTACCTTTCAGTATTCAAAAAGATTATATCATTGTGCATTTTGGAACTAAGGAAATTAGGTTTCCCAGAAATCTAATATGAATATGTCGTTATTAAAAATAAATTGACTATGCATGAGCGTTCCACGGGACTCCCCCCCCCCCCCCCCCCCCCCCAGTCAGGTTTGGATTAAATATGTGGCCTGCTTCTGAATAGAACAAATTACAAATTCAGGAGATAAACTCTTCCCATATATTATACTGTAAATTAACTGCATCTAAAGATAACAATGTTATGAGGCCAATCTTAAGGATATCTTACACACTTCATTGAAAGAGGGCCTTGAATATGATGTCACATTCATATACAAATTTATAAAATAATATGACTATTGGCAGGTCAGCAGAACATGCCCTAGCCCGGCGATTCCGTGAAATTTGAATTTTGGCTTGGTGCTACCTTAGCAATTAATCCCCCCCCCCCCCCCCCGGATGAATGCAGTACTGAATTGATTAAGATTCTCAATGCAAACAGAAGATTACTACCACTTGAGTTATATAGTACGAGTATACTTCAACAATATTGTCACAACTAAATAGTGCAGTAATAAAAAGAATTTATGTGTCAACTTATAGATGATGGTGTTTTAAAGCAGGGGAAGTCCACCCTAAAAATAAGTATGTTTGAATGATATAAAATATAGATAAACAATAAGGTCAGTGACAGTGAATGTTGAAAAAGATTCTTGGTTACAGTATATAGAAGTCTTCATCATAAAAATCTAGTGGAAATAATTGGCAATAATAGTGTTTCTGATGGCTAAGCCGTTGTCTACAATGTGGTCGTCCCTGTCTGGTTCGTGTTCATGTTGTTCAATACCAAAGTCTACTTCATCAGGCTGCTTCAAATCTTTAGCCACATTGTGCAATACGGCGCATGCAGTGATGATCTTGCACGCTCTTCTGGGTGCCATTTGCATACCATTCAGTAAGCACCTGAATTTGTGCTTTAGTTGGCCGTTGACTTGTTCGATTCTCACTCTCGTTGTAGCATGTGCTCTGCAGAGTAAAGGAATTGAAGTATAACAAATTAAAAACAAAGAATTATTGGGAAGTCTATTAGACTATGAAAATACATGTACATCTAACTACAGTGCTATACATCTAACCTATACATTGTCAAAAGGAAGTAAGTCACATATATGAGTAATTTTCTTTTTTACCTGTAGCTCTTCTGGGCCAAATGGTATTCATGAACACTCATCCTGCTAATTAAGAGATGTGATTGGCAAATTGACATCATGGTATTGCTTTGATGTCTAAAATGGCATACATTCATTCACTTTCTTTTTTAATTGTAGATACAAATATGCATTGAAATGTTTCTTGTAGTACATACCTATTGTAAGCCTGTTCTGCAGGAGTCCTTGGATTTAGCACTGGTGTCATCAGGTATGGTCTTAAAGCGTAACCCGAATCTCCAAGAAGTAGACCATGCTGTTGTAGATCTTCAAAAGTCTGTCCAACTCTGCTGTTCTGTATAAAGGAAGAATCATTATAAGAATGAACATAATATGGTAGAATAGGTGCCCCTTGACCTTTGATATTTATTGCATTCTCTTGCATATACACATTTTGAAAAATTATTAAAAATTGTAAGATCTTAGCTTCACAATTATTTTGTAGCATTTGTAACAAACATTTGACATCAATTTCAATGTCAATATATGTTTTCATGGAGGCATTAAAAACAAAAGTGGGTTACATAGGAAATTTTAGAATCAAAATATTATGGATTTACCTGAAATATCCTGCTGTCGTGAGTGCTGCCTGGCCAGCGTGCCAAAATGTTTATGATCTTGTAATTGGTATCACAAATTATTTGGGTGTTGATGGAGTAATATCCTTTTCTGTTCATATAGACGTGCTCACCAGGGCCCAAGGGAGCTCCATTTAGTCTAATGTGTGTTCCGTCGACCACTCCTATGACCTGGGGAAAGCCTGATATGTTGAAGAAATCTACTTGGGCTCTGTTGACTTCTTCCATTGTCGTTGGAAACTTGATTATCTGAAGTGTGAATTGGAGATGCAGAAAGAAAACAAAAATCAATAATTCCATGTTGCAGATCTTCATATGTTATGTATACAATACAAGTCTAATTCATGTGCAAACTTTTGAAATGTAATTTGACGTATATTTTATTCATCGTCATTATATTTATACAGCTATGCTGAAATTCACCAGTATTTATTATTATAGACAGAAACGATGTTATATCAAGAAATGTAATCTTTATCACATTGTAAATTATATGAATAAATATTTATCTCCTACGAATACATTTAATATTCAGAGAATTGGACATGAACTTTCTTTCTTTCAATCAAGTGTTGAGAAAAGTATGTGAAATATCTGAAGAAGTTTGTGAAGTGATTAAAAAAAAAATTATGAGAGAGAGTGCAAGTTTTCTTTGGCTGTACTCGAATTCATGAACATATTCATAGTTATGCTATTAATGGTGATGCAACTAACTATTCCTATAACTATCTATTCTTAAAAACTGATCTCTTTTCTTTCTATACCCCTCGTCTCTCTCTTCCCGGGCCTCTATATAGCTCTCTCTCTCTCTCTCTCTTTTCTCCTGTTATTTATTATTTACTTATTAGTTTATGCTTCTCCGGGGAGAATCTTGTTTGAATCTACGTTCTTCCTCTTAATATAATCATGACAGTTGTGTTTTTTTTGTTTTTTTGGCTTTTCATCAATCATTATTATTATCATTTTCTTTATTATATATAGCAGTATTGTTTTACTTTATTTTTTTAAAACCATTTTGTTGTGAGTTTTTTTTTTTGTGACGGTAGTTTAATTATGTTGTATTTTTTACTGCTGTGTATGCGCATATAAATTTATCATTAAGTCTATTTGATATCTGTGCAAAAAGAGGAAATGATGAAATTGGAAATTGAAGACGTTAAAATATCTATCGATTGGCATATAGCATATAGCATATAGCATAATTGGCATATTGGCATATAGCTTTCCATACTCTGGGCTCAGCTGTTTCAATTTAGAGTACGTATTATGTGTGCATGCAACATTTGCCTCTGCCTCTGGTCATGTGAATGTGATGAGAGACTCCTCGTTTTGTGCATTAGAAAGGGTGCTGTTTTCGTCATGACAGTCATTCATCATGCAATCATCATTCAGTAAGAAATTTGTTTTGACATAGAGGGGTCTATATACCTATATGAAGGGTCATAGGTACACGATTCATACAATCAAGCTCGCATCATATCACGCCAATTTATGGGCGACTCTACACAAATCAATATACCTAGGACTACGTGCAAAATAGTAATTATACTAGCGCTAGCGCTAGCATCTAGCACTTGCACTCTCGCTAACTTGGGGAAGGAAGTTTGGATAAAGATGTCTTTATTATTATGAATTCTTTATTAGACGTAGCTATTATTTGATTATATGACCACTAATAAAATGATACTATAGGTCTACAGACTACTACACAGAGACTGCAGTGACAGTAGTAGACAGGCAGCTAGGCTCGGCCAACTAACCGACCGCGCCAGCGCTGCCCCAGCCTCCCGCCCGGCCGCCACAGTCGCGGGCTCTGTCCCATGGCAACCACTAAATTGTCAGACCGCTGCATAGACCTATGTCATGTCATTGCTTGGTCGTCTAAGATTAATTAAACATATAAATTTATCTGAAATAGGTCTTCCATGTGTTCATTATAAAATGCATAGTATTTTTAGTATATGCATGTCATGCATGACAAAAATAGAGTTATTTTTCATCCTCTTAGTCTTATTAATTTGCTGATTGAAAATTCAAAATACAAATTTTAGACAGACTGTATTTTCGTCTTCTCTTTGCTTTATTAAAGAAAAATGTATTGACTTACCTCATGTTTCAGTGTGCCGAGGGTCACTGACACACGGTGAATTACCCTGGATGCTGTTGAGCGGGTGATGCCATGAATCGTGGCCGTGGAATCAAGCACTGCCCCCGTTGCATAAAAATTCAAAGCTATGAAAACTTGCAGCTCTGGGGGAAGTGCCTGATTCCGTTGGGTGTCGTGCTGCAACAGGGGCCGAATCAAATTGATAACATGCATACAACCATCCCTAGTAAACCGGTACTTCCGGAAAATGTCACAATCCCCCAACTCCAACGGCTGGCTGCGATCTCTGAAGATCCGCTCCCTCCTCCTCGCCCTTTCATATCCACGACGCTGCAACACAGCCAGTATCGCAGCCATAGTTACGGTAGTGTTACCGCAAGCTCAGAGGGTAGCGGTAATGTTACCGCTGATCTTTATAGACTTACCGCTGATCTTTATAGACTTACCGCTCAAGTCCAGCGGTAAGTTTTTATGCAACGGATATTTACCGTTTATCTTAAAGTTACCGCTGCTTTTGAGACTTACCGCTCAAATGAGCACTTACCGCTACGGTAACTGTTTTATAATACGGGGGCCATGTGTGTGCTATAATAAAACCATTTTTGAATTCAATGATGTCAAATAGCGCACCATTATGTATATGTACAGTGGATAGGTGTGACCAAATGTCTCTCTCTCTCTCTCTCTCCCTCTCTTTCTCTCTCATACTTTATCTCACATTCTATGACTATTTTAGTAACTTGTTAAAGGCTTGTATAAAGGGTATTCTCCTCTCTTCCTTTTTTTCTTTACGGATAACTGATTTTTCTTAAAGAATCCAACTCAAATGCACTTCGAATGCCGTCGGAATTTTCAGATTGCCGCTCGAATGCGGCTCGAATGCAGTTGGAACGTCCCAACGAGAATGCAGGAATGTCCCGAATGCAAGTCGAATGCACTTCGAATGCCGTCGGAATCTTTAGATTGTCGCTCGAATACGACTCGAATGCAGTTTGAACGTCCCGACCAGAATGCAAGAATGTCCCGAATGCATCTCGGTTCCCGCCGGAAGCTGTTTCAATATTTTTGGTACTAAAAGAATCCAGCTCGAATGCACTTCGAATGCCGTCGGAATCTTTAGATCGTCGCTCGAATACGACTCGAATGCAGTTTGAACGTCCCAACCAGGATATTAAAATCGATGCATCCCGATTGCCGCCGGAAAAAGGTATACAAATATGAAATATAGAATATAAGGCAATGTTTCCTAGTCACTTTAACCAAAAAAAATGCGCGTTCGGATTTTTGTTGTTGTTTGGTGTGTACTGCAAGGTTCTGGGGACATCCAAATGATAAAAAAAATTGGCCCAGTCTTAGGAAACAAGCACTGTAGACAGAAAGATGTATACAAATATAAAATGTAAAGCTACACAAACATGTGGTATTATGTTACTTGTCATCTTTAGAATATGAAGGCATTTGAAGAGCCACCATTTTAAGGGGACATATTTCTCTGATGTTCTGCCTCACTTGCATAATAACAATGATAACTCTCACAAATTATCTTTCACCTCTCCCCAGAAGTCAACCTTCTCTTAAGCACGGCTGCTTTTACCTCCAATCTAGCATGTAAATGTCTTGGTATGCGGCTCGTATATGCACTTCGAATGCCGTCGGAATCTTTAGTTTGCCGCTCGAATGCGGCTCGAATAAATCTCGATTTCCGCCGGAATCTATTTCGATATTTTATGGTACTTAAAGAATCTAACTCGAATGCACTTCGAAAACCCTCGGAATCTTTAGATTGCCTCTCGAATGCGGCTCGAATAAAACTCGATTGCCGCTGGAATCTATTTCGAAATTTGTGGTACTTAATACATGAAGATATGGCATATTTATATTCAATACTGAACGAACGCCATGAAACTACTACCAACAACAACAACAACAACAACACCATCTTCCTTTTCTGCCTCTTTCTATTTCTCCAATCTCCAACCCTCCCTATATATTCTGTACACTTTTTGTTTTCTCTCTCTCTCTCTCTCTTTCCCTCATATCTATGTTCGTGCATCAATTCTTGCTGTCCTCCGCTTTTTCTCTTTGCCTCCACCCCTCTCCTGCTTCTGTAAATGTATTCTCTCTCCCTCTCTCTCTCTCTCTCTCTCTCTGTCTCCCTCCCTCTCTCTTTCTTTCCTCCTCCCTACACCTCTCTCTGTGTCTCCCTCCCTACCTCTCTCTCTGTCTGTCTCCCTCCCTACCCCCCTCTCTCCTCTCTCTCCTCTCTCTCCTCTCTCTCTCTCTCTCTCTCTCTGTTCAACCCTTACGTACATCATTGGATACTCACATGCATACATGGTGGATGCGCGTTTGCGTGCGTGTGTGTGTGTGCGTGTGTGTGTGTGTGTGTGTTTATTTCTATCAAAGATTGATTTTTATTGTTTGGAATCAATAAACAAAACTATTGGAGAACAAAAGTGTGTGTGCGTGTGTGTTTGTGTGTGTGTGCGTGTGTGTGTGGTTGTGTGCGGGTGTATGTTATAACACACCCGCACCCGCACACGACCCCATCGGCATAGGTAGGCGTATACCCACACGAATCAATGTCATATCCTCCCGAGAAGAACATGAAGAATGTTAAACTTGTAATAAATAATAACGTGACATGTAAGAAAGAAATACAAATGAGCCACTTGAGTTTTTTTTTTTGTTTTTTTGCAAATATTTATTATCATGATCATATACATATCAATCACCTCTATTTAATTTCAACCTATTGAAAGATGTGATATATCCTTATAAGAAAAAAATGTTTAATGAATATGTAATGATGATTTTCGAATCATCAAAGATTTTACCGGGAATACTAATTTTTTCAAATGAGATTTAGTCATTGCAGTGTGAAGCAAATACACTACAATACACAATTGATAATGAATATTGACCAATTGTCGACTTGAGAAATTCGAAGGTCAATGGTTTAAATAATATCCTGTAAGTACACAGTTCTTCATTTCTGAAGCAAAGTAAAAACATGTAGTCGCTTACTTTATCAACAGATCAAAGAATTATGAACTAAAAACCGAGTGATGTAAATGTGCACTTGATTATCATCTATTCCGTTTTGTTTTACCCAGTTTTATAGAAGAAAAAGAACTACATAGAAGCCCTGTATCATCATAAAGGAAACTCATTGTTAAGATTGGTTGCCATTCGTTGTCGTAAATGGTAAAAGTCTAAAGTCGATGTCATTTGATGAGCAGCAGATCTCTATTCCAGCGTGGAATCTCATTCCTCTATATTTGGTTTGGGTTCGGAGGAGAAGGCCCGCTCTAAAAAGACAAAAGGCAAGATAATAGTTAAATTAATTTTGTTTGCATAGTTGCAAGTCTCTTCAAACGACTCATCTAGCTTCAGAAAGAATTTAAATACGTTTCGCATGTTGCTATTTCGTCTATCTGACTCTTAACATGACATTACATCTTTATAATCTGTGCATTTAAACTTAGTGATACTGTTTTTGACATGGCAACTGGAATATGTTCAATTGTTTGATGGATTGGTTTATGACTAATTGTCAAAATACATCAGACGGCAGTATAAAGGCAATCTATATTGAAACAGACTTTCTTTAACAGTCGATACATTTCGTTTAACCCTCATAAAAGTATTGAATTATTATTTAATACGTGTATTTGAGAAACTTCAAATGTTTAGCAATCATTTCCACGACAATATTTGTGAGTGCATACTTTTATTGAGAAAACATATTATGTGTTCAGTTAAAAACTTCATTACTCATACCCATAACCAAGTTTTAAGATTTGTGAAGTATGTAAAAATAGATTTGTCGCAATTTACGTCTTTTGAGCAAGTGACATAATTATTAAAGCTCACATTAAGGCTTTGAGGATTCCATTTTTTTACTCAGATTTTGCTCTCTTCCAAAGCAATTTAATGTTCTGAAGAGACTATCCTGTATGTCTATCAAAACACATAATTTATTTCATAGCACTATCTGTTAAAAATTTAAATTATTTCACTTGTCAGAACTTTGACGATTAAACCTTAAAGCTTATCTGCCATAGTTTACAGGAGGGATTAGAGCGCCCTGCAAGGTCACTGGACAGGTGGTTATCACATCAACTCAGCTCTCAGTTAACATAAGAAAAAGAGGATCATGGGGGACCAATGGTCACCGATTAGGCATTGTTTGTTATATAGAGGGCGCAAGTAGCTACAAGTAGTGCAGTGGGCCTTTAAACCCAACAATGTACCACCTATAATGTATTCCTAAAAATCAATAATTTCAGTCTTACCTGACACACGTCCTGGTAATCCCGGCAGCAATCACCATAACTCATGCAAGCAGCATCACAGAAGCAGGCTCCAGTGGGGTTCGTGCCACCACATGCACCCTCGCATGAATCTCCTGCAGAAACGACAACAACATTATTTCAATGATTATAATATTCGAGGTTTATTTACTAATTTATTTTATGCGTTTAATACAATGTTTCTAAGCTCGCAACGAAAATGTAATTATTCTGGTTACTATAGATTCAGGCTTTCCGAGAATCAAGCAATGTATGCACATGCTTTACTGCCCAGGGAGCACTCAAGCCGGGCACAATTATTTTACCATCGGTCACAATGCTGAGCATATGCTACAATGTCTTTCGCATCCCAGCGAGCGGGGACCAATTCATCACCTGGGTGAAGAGAATCCAAAATCCTTTGCTGAATGATATAAGTCCGTGTCGGGGATCAAACACACGACTATCGCATCTCCAGTCAAATTTAAACAATTCGACTACGAAGTGAGGTGTATGTGTGCGTGTGTGGAGGGGTGATATAATTCACATAATTTGTATCCCCTTCAAAATCGTTCCCCTTTTCAGGTTTTGCAGAAAAAGGTGTGATTATCTTCGACACTCCTACTTTCATAGGGTATAACCTTGCTGCATAACCAAATATATAAAAGAGGTGAATAATCTACTAACCTGTTGGAGGGGGTCCACTGGGAGGCGGCAGAGGGGCAGAGCTGTTACTTGGCGGTGGAGGAGGAGGGGCAGAACCGTTGTTTGGTGGAGGAGGAGGAGGGGCAGAACCGTTGTTTGGTGGAGGAGGAGGAGGGGCAGAACCGTTGTTAGGTGGAGGAGGAGGAGGGGCAGAACCGTTGTTAGGTGGAGGAGGAGGAGGGGAGGAACCGTTGTTAGGTGGAGGAGGAGGAGGTGAAGAACCGTTGTTTGGTGGAGGAGGAGGAGGGGAAGAACCGTTGATAGGTGGAGGAGGAGGAGGAGGTGAAGAACCGTTGTTTGGTGGAGGAGGAGGAGGGGCAGAACCGTTGTTTGGTGGAGGAGGGGGAGGGGCAGAACCGTTGTTTGGTGGAGGAGAGGGAGGTGAAGAACCGTTGTTTGGTGGTGGAGGAGGAGGGGAAGAACCGTTGTTTGGGTGTGAATGGTTACCGGATCCATTACCTGGGGGTGGGGTTGAAAAGTTAGAGGAAAAAAGCCCGCGCTTAACGATTCGGCCGGCACGTGAGTGGTTACCAGTGCCATTTCCAGGTCTTGGTGGAGGTGGGCCGGTGCCGTT